GGAAAATTCTCAAGTCACTGCCTGGAAAAAATACCCCACAACTTTATAAATACAACTGGCAATCAGTACCTATACAATCCAACAACAATCCAAACCATTTTTCTCTGTATGATACAAAATTGTTGAAAGTTTAAAGCCAATCAGAAGAGACATTCTCAAGCTACCACACAGGAACTGCTGTGTTATCTGTATTCATAAATTTGGCAAATTAACACCTATGCAACCCAACAACAATCTGAACCTTCCTCTTAATAAGATACATAAATACTGAAAGTCTGAAGCTCAAGAAAACAAGGATTCTCAAGCTATTGCACAGGAAGCTTGGAGGAACTTGAATAAACACTCAACAACCACTATTAGGCTCCTCATTTTGTGATACCAATAATGATTACACAATCAATCATGTTAGAATAACCAATGCACAACTATGAGAAAATAATGTAATACAGCAATTACAATTCCAAGCTAACAAAAGACTTGTGAAAGAAATGGGGGGGGGGGGAAGAAGAATGGGGGCCAGAGGGGAAGGGGAGTTAGGAAGGGAAAAGAAATAGGGAGTAGGGAAGGAAATTAAAAGGGGGCAGGGAAAGAAATGAAAAGAGCACTGAAGGAAATGAAAAAGGCAGGGAATGAAATGAAAAAGAGGGCAAGGAGAGAAATGAAAAGGGGGTAGGGAGGGAAATAAAAAGGGATAGAAGGAGAAAGGGAGGATGGAGGAAAAGAAGGGGATAACAAGGAAAATGAAAAAAGGAACATGCAAAAGGTAAGAGAAAAAATATAGAAAACTAGGGAGATAATGCTAGAAATGGTGAATTAAGGAAGAGAAGAATAGCAAGTCAAGGACATGGGTGGGGGGACAACAGAGGAAAAAGCAGTAAAAGAAAGAGGTTAATGAGAGAGAAGGAAGAACTACGTAGAACACTTAAAAGTGTAATTTATAAAAAAAAAAAAAATGAAATTTAATATTTTTTCCCAAAATGAAAAATATATTAAGGTCTTATAAAAATTAAGAAGTATGGTAATGCCAGAAGTTTTGTATATCCTTCCAACATCTATGAAAAGTTTATCCAAGTTAAAATAGATTTAAACACTCAAAAAGAAATATTTTCTCATCAGGTTCTTCTTCTGATTAAACACTAATATTAAGAGCATTTAATAGCAAAATTTTGAGATATCTGGTGCTGGAAAACTCCTGTGCATCCTTATAGCAGATAAAACTTTATACGAATATACAGAGCATAACCTAGCTTTGTTTTCGTATGAAGGTGACATGGCATAAGCAGCAGCTCATCCAGTTCTCATCCTTTTCAGTATACACAGTAGGTCCCAGCTTACAATGATTCACCCCTTATGAAAATGGCACTTCAGAACTAATTAATCACTTACTTACAGAATTCATATTTGATTCACAGAATTTGATCAGCAACTGCAGATTTACAAATTTTGTTTGTCTGTTTGCTAGGGGGTGGTGGGTGACTGTGTCATAACATGTGGTAAGTGACTGTGGTGTGGAGGTTTAGATCATCTTACTCCACCACCGTCCCTCTCCACTACACAACCCAGCCATCCACCCCTTCTGCCCCACCACTACCTTCCCACAAGCACCTGATATCCTCAATATAACAATGAGTATTAAAGGTAGTAGGTTGGTAGACAGCACCAGCAACCACCCAGGAAGGTACTACCGTCCTGCCAAGTGAGTGTAAAACGAAAGCCTGTAATTGTTTTACATGATGGTAGGATTACTGGTGTCTTTTGTCTGTCTCATAAATATGCATGATTACAGGTACGTCTTGCTACTTCTATTTACACTTAGGTCACACTACACATACATGTACAAGCATATATATATATATATATACACACACCCCTCTGGGTTTTCTGCTATTTTCTTTCTAGTTCTTGTTCTTGTTTATTTCCTCTTATCTCCATGGGAAAGTGGAACAGAATTCTTCCTCCATAAGCCATGTGTGTTGTAAGAGGTGACTAAAATGCCGGGAGCAAGGGGCTAGTAACCCCTTCTCCTGTATATATTACTAAATGTACAAGGAGAAACTTTCGTTTCTGCTTTTGGGCCACCCTGCCTCGGTGGGATACGGCCAGTGTGTTGAAAGAAAGAAGAACAATGAGTATATGAAGGTGAACATAATTACAGCATTGTGTCAGATATAATGGGAGAAAATGACAGTTATTGCTGCCTTGCTCCACCATCCTCCCTTCCAACTGCAGGAGGAAGAAAATACAAGAGAGGAAGGGAAGTAAGGAAGTAGGATAGAGGGAATGGGAGGAAAGGAAGAAAATAAATGAAATTAGAAACAGAATATAATGGCTGGGTGTGACATAGCCCCATATTACAGACTCATGCCAACGTACAATAACAAGCATGTCACACTATACCATTATCTTTATTATTCTTACTCTATAGCATTATGACTTCGAGAGTGTATAAATCTGTAGTGGAGGGAAAGCAGGGTAGGGGTTGGCCTAGGAAGGGTTGGAGGGAGGGAGTAAAGGAGGTTTTGTGTGCGAGGGGCTTGGACTTCCAGCAAGCATTGGCCAAATTACCAATTTCCGGTCACTTTATTTTGTTGTTGAAACAGTTGACTTGGCAATTTCTTGTGCTCAATCGATAGAATAGAAGTAATACTAGTGAAATAGCTAAGAATTTGGTTGACTGGAATACTGTAATTGGCCTAAAATGGGAGTCAAAGTTGGCAAAATTGCTGATGCGTAAATATCGCCGACACATCAAAATTCGTGAGAGCATAATTTTGTCAATTTTCTTTCAAATTTCGTACTTTTTGTTTTATTACCTTCACAAAAAGATTCTCTACCATTTCATAAGAAAAAATAAGAAAAGAATGCTATATTAAGATGACAGGTAGACAGTGGGATCATGTGACTCCTGTGTTGCTAGGTATGTGATGCTTTGCATGATTAAGCATCATGTATGCTAATATTTGAAATTTCATAGTTTCCAGTATTACATTATATGGTGTTAGTAACAGCAATTAGTGAAGCTTCCAGACATCAGAATTTAAAATCTGTGAGGATGAGCTGTGCCTCATTCCAATTCATCAAATAACCCATGGAATTCCTGTGGAGAAGTCACGTGATCTCAATGTCTACCTGTCCTCACCGTATGTCACTCGCACAACACACACTGCCTATGAAAATGAATGGTATAAAATACCGACACAATGGAAACAAACACATATACAGTTTAATGTGATCCTTTATTGACAACGTTTCACCCACACAGTGGGCTTTTTCAAGTCACAAACAGATCTGTTTGTGACTTGAAAAAGCCCACTGTGTGGGCAAAACGTTGTCAATAAAGGATCACATTAAACTACATATGTGTTTATGTTTCCACACTGTCTATATATAGTCTTTTTAACCTCTGTATGTTAAAAGTGATCAAGATCCCAGGACCAAAATATTTTCTAATAAATATGTCCTAGGGTTTGCTCATGTGCCTTTTTAAACCAATTTGTCAGTATCTATTAGCAAGGTTTATTTTTTTTTTTTCAACAAACCTGCCGTATCCCACCAAGGCAGGGTGGCCCAAAAAGAAAAACGAAAGTTTTCCTTTTTAAATTTAGTAATTTGTACAGGAGAAGGGGTTACTAGCCCCTTGCTCCCAGCATTTTAGTTGCCTCTTACAACATGCATGGCTTACAGAGGAAGAATTCTGTTCTACTTCTCCATGGACATAAGAGGAAATAAACAAGAATAAGAAGTAGATAGAAAATAGAAGAAAACCCAGAGGGGTGTGTATCTATATGCTTGTACATATATACGTAGTGTGACCTATGTGTAAGAAGCAGTATCAAGACGTACCTGAAATCTTTGCATGTTTATGACACACAAAAAAGACACCAGTAATCCTACCATCATGTAAAAAAATACAGGCTTTCATTTTACACTCACTTGGTAGGACAGTAGTACCTCCCTGGGTGGTTGCTGTCTACCAACCTACCACCTACAACCAAGGTTTATGTCAGTGTAATATATACTGGTGTCTTTCATATAGGGAATAAGTAGTCTATCTGACTGGTATATTTATACAATACCTGGGACAAGCAGAGAACCATTTGGTGTAAATTTCATGACAGCTCAATAACACATGTATGTAACCTGCTTTGTTTAGACATAAAATAATTTTTTTGTTTTTTTAGCATACTGGCTGTTTCCAACTAAGGTGGGGCGACCCAAAAAAAGAAGAAACACTTTTATCGCCAAACCACAAATATCCCCACCCCTCCTTCAGAGGGGTAGGGATATTTGCAGGCAATGTACTTCCCACCTCCAGGACCAAAGTCCAGCTGATCAGTTTCCCTGAATGCCTTCACAAATGTTGCCTTGATCACACTCCAACAGCTTGTCAAGACTCCTATCTAACATGCTAATACACCCCTGCTGGATGTCCAAGCCCCTTGCACACAAAATCTCCTTTACCCCCCTCCCCTGAACCTTTCTATGTCATCCTATTTTGCTCCTTCCTCTCTAAATGTCCAAACAACCTCAAAAGTCCCTTCTTAGCCCTCTGGATATTACTTTTAGTAACCCCCACACCTCCTAATCTTTAAGCCATGAATTCTCTGCGTAATATTTACAATACATATTGCACTTCAACACGACATCTCCACTGCATCCTCCTCCTCCTCAAGTAACTAACAATTCTCAGGAATACATTAACATTGTAAGTGGGGAACCTACTGTACTTATTTTCTATTTTCATCAACTTCCCATTAAAATGATCTACTGAGTCATGCAGATGATGTGCATAGGCAACAGAATGCAGAATTTTCCTACACAAAAAAATAATGATGTAATTAAAACAAAATGCTGTACTTACTGCTACAATTCTTGGATCAAACAAAAGTTATAATTACCAAGAAGCTCTTCCTTCAAGAGAATTACAATGCTTACAATTAAAAATTAATAATAATTTGACAGCCACCAAGAACTGCAGTTCATAAAAAAAGACAACTTACTTAGTAAGACCAGAATACAGATGACAATGGCAACAACAAAATCAGTGGAGGGTTTGAGAATGGTTTCCTCGAGGATAATGTTGCAATCAGTTCCATAGAACCCATCGATACAATTGCATACATAGCCGCCCATGTCAGGTTCCAAATCCTGACATACACCTCCATTATAGCATGGCTGCCACAGCTCACACTCGTTGATGTTGACACAGTCATCAAGGTTAGGAACAGATCCTTCTGGGCAGCTGAGGAATGAATGATTGAAGAATAACATTTACCTGCTATATCATGGAGTGATAAGGACATGAATGCTCTGACCTGTTATGAACAGTATGTGTGAATGAATGGATGGCAGGGTAGATGTACAGCATGCTGCCCACTAAAAGTTAAAACATTAAAAATAAGAAATACTGGAAAGGACAGCTGAAGGTTCATGCAGCACTTACCAGTGATTTTAATGTCGTAAAGCCTCTTCTCCAATTCTACTTCAAAAACTCATGCATGTCAGAGACTAAAAGGAAGAAGCTTAGTATGATTATCAAAATGTTAAATTTAGTTTATAGTGCTTAGAAGTACATCTAATAGCATGCAAGTTTTCAACTTTCTAAGGCTTCATTCTAAAGGCATTTATGCAAAGCATACAATATAACCAAGGACAGTTACAGCATTTAACTATGATCATGCAATATGTGACCTTGACATATACATACCTATAATTAACTGGCCACTGAACTGAATTTTAATATCATTTCATTCACCCATTTTAGAGATCTTACCCAAAATGATAAGAAGACAAACAAGAATGGCAGCCAAAGCCCCCAGGCTAAGTCGGACTGTCCTGCCTTCTTGTAATAGTTCACAGTTCTTGCCATAATAGCCTCGTGGACAGTCACAAATGTATGAAGGTTCCTGGTTGTGACATGTGCCACCATTCTGACATGGATCATTTAGACACTCATCCTGGTCCACACATTCTTCTTGATTACTTGACAGTATTGTACCATCCTCACATCTAATTATTTTAGTTCATTGCAATGCAGGACCATGCACAAGCAAAATTAAGTGCATTAAATAGGAAAGTTCCGTAAGTTTTAGGTGCAGTTTGAAGTGCAAGATATTAAAAAAATGTTAAATGTCCAATTTTACCAGATTCCAAGAGGCAGCAAAAATAAGAGAGAGTTTCATTAGTGTTTATTAAAAATGAGTTTCAATGAAATGTGATGATTTTAAACTTTGTCAATAACCAAATGCTGTCAGATAGCAGAGTCTTAATATGAATACAAGTTAACAGTATAATATGAACACTTAACAAGAGTAGCATTACAGGATGAGCACTTAAAAGAAAATTACCATCAATTTTTTAAATCAAGCATTTCACAGAGCCATATCAATACAAGTTACAATCTAAAATACTTTTTATTGCAACATCTAATTAGAAACTACAGATGAAAAATACTATGAAAATTATAAGGGAACCAGACAATAGAGTTTATGACTTTATTAAAGAGTAAAGATGTTTTAAGGATAAGTACTGTTCTTTATATGCTTTGATTTAATAACTAAAACAAAATGAATTCACTACTTGTCTTACAGTTCAATATTTATTAGTGTTTTATAAACAGTGGTACCTCAAGTTTGAACAATTATGCAAGTGTATTTTTGGGAATCTGAAATGGACTAATCTAATTTACATCATTCCTTATGGGAACAAATTAGTTCAGTACCAACGCTCGAACAGCCTTCTGGAATTAAGTTCATAACTCGAGGTACCATTGTAATATGTTTGAAGAGTCAAACAAAAGTTTAGAATCTTTCTAGCAAGGAGTTTACTGGTATTTAATAAGTTGTAGTTATAAAACATTTATTTTTTCATATATATTTGTTTCTTAACCCTTTAACTGTCAAACTGTTGATCAATGCATTACAGTTACCACTCAATGCACTATTTTTTCTTGTGTTCAATTTGGCACCAGAAGCCTGATGGGCCTAGGTAGTATAGAATGGGTTTCCACACTCAGTGTGCTCCATATTAAAAAAATCTGGGACGACACAGTACCTCATGGGAGCACCAGTTCAACTGAGTGCCAGCTAGAGTAAACAGCATGGCAAACCCCAGGGACTCACTAAAACTGTCATATTAACTTGTCAAGTAAAGGTTATGTTGACCCCAGGTTTAGCGGCTTTGGGATGAATGCAGCTGCAAGTGATCGAGGAAATATAAAAAACCTCAACGATAACACATGTGCAACATTCATGCCACACACTTTGTTTTGATGCCAGTGGTAGTGGCATCCTGTGAGACTGTCCTATCACTGAGGAGTCACTGGTGTTAGTTGAGAGAGAGGGAGAGACTATTCTGCAACATGTGCAATACCTGTTCTTCCTGGCTGATGATCAGATTTATTAGCTGCTCATCAAAGTACAGGTATTGTAGGTGCAAGTGCTCTAATATATATCTATGGATCTATATCTATCTATATATATATCTATATATATCTATATCTATCTATATATCTATATCTATCTATATCTATCTGTAGCTATATATCTATCTATCTATATCTATCTATATCTTTCTCTCTCTCTCTCTCTCTCTCTCTCTGTCAGTTTCACTCTCAGTCAGATTTTGTCAGTTTCAGTCACTTGGTCAGTCAGTTTGTCAGTCTCAGTCAGTTTTATTCTTGGTCAGATTGTCAATCTTAGTCAGTTAGTTTCAGTCTCAGTCAATCAGTTTCAGTCTCAGTCAATCAGTTTCAGTCTCAGCCAATCAGTTTCAGTTTCAGTCACAGCCAGTTTCAGTCAGTCTTCCAGTCCCACTCTGTCACTTGGTCACAGTTTCACTAAGTCAGTCAGTCTTTCAGTCTCTCAGTAAGTCAACCAGCCTTTCTCAGTCCCAGTTTCACTCAGTCTTTCAGTTTCAGTCAGTTTCACTCAGTCACACTCCCAGTCAATTTCAGGTTCAGTCAGCCAGTCCCAGTCAGTTACTTTCTGAAAGAGAGAGAGAGAGAGAGGGGGGATTCTGCAACATAAGAACATAAGAAAAGAAAGAACACTGCAGCAGGCCTGTTGGCCCATACTAGGCAGGTCCTTCACAATCCATCCCACTAACAACTTCTTGGGATCTTAATACTTGGGAATTCTTCGCTTGCCTAACCCTTGGGCACAAATGTGATACCACCTACGACTGCTGAACCTCTCCTGCCTACGGTGTATAAGCTGCTTCTCCACACATATGCCGTATTCTATTCAAGATTGATGGACTGACCACATCGACTCAAGGTTGAGGGACTGACTACCTCATTCTCCTCCTGTTCTTCACAATTCTCCTTTGTATGGACTGATGAAGCCACTGTGGCAAAACGTTTCCTCAATAAAGATACCCAAGAGTTGCTCATGTGTCTAATTTATCAGCGTGTCGGTTCTCTGAACCATTCATCTACAACTACTACCCAGTACGTCAGCAATCTTCTAATGTTCGACTTGTGTCCATTTTGACTTAGGACCAGTTGGTCAGAACCAGGCTCAGTTGTAAGTTGGATGGTAGGTGTATTTCTTATTTATAAATTACGTACATATATTGTTTAAGGATACTGGGGGTGGGAGAAGCCTCCTCCACCACTAATATGTACGGCTTCTCTCAGTGACCCTTATAAACCCAACAACAACACTTCCAACACTGTCCATTCTGGCTGATGATCAGGTTTATCAGCTGCTCATCAAAGTACAGTTGGAAGTACTCTAACCTCTCTCTCTCTCACTGAGAGAGAGAGAGATTCCATCAACAATGTGGGGTGACTGCACCAACAACATGGGGTGACTGCATCATCACTGTACCATCAACAGTTTGGGGTGACTGCACCAACAACATGGGGTGACTGCATCATCACTACCATCAACAGTGTGGGGTGACTGCACCAACATGGGGTGACTGCATCATTACTGTACCATAAACAGTGTGGGGTGACTGCATCACTGTACCATCAACAGTGTGGGGTGACTGCATCATCAACAATGTGGGGTGACTACATCATCAACATTATTGGGTGACTGCATCATCAACAATGTGAGGTGACTGCATCATCAATAATGTGGGGTGACTGCATCATCAACAATGTGGGGTGACTGCATCATCAATAATGTGGGGTGACTGCATCATCAACAATGTGGGGTGACTGCATCATCAACAATGTGGGGTGACTGCATCATCAATAATGTGGGGTGACTGCATCATCAATAATGTGGGGTGACTGCATCATCAACAATGTGGGGTGACTGCATCATCAACAATGTGGGGTGACTGCATCATACAATAATGTGGGGTGACTGCATCATCAATAATGTGGGGTGACTGCATCATCAACAATGTGGGGTGACTGCATCATCAACAATGTGGGGTGACTGCATCATCAATAATGTGGGGTGACTGCATCATCAACAATGTGGGGTGACTGCATCATCAACAATGTGGGGTGACTGCATCATCAACAATGTGGGTGTGCATCATCAATAATGTGAGTACGCATCATCATAATGTGGGGTGACTGCATCATCAACAATGTGGGGTGACTGCATCATCAACAATGTGGGGTGACTGCATCATCAATAATGTGGGGTGACTGCATCATCAACAATGTGGGGTGACTGCATCATCAACAATGTGGGGTGACTGCATCATCAACAATGTGGGGTGACTGAATCATCAACAATGTGGGGGTGACTACATCATCAACAATATTGGGTGCCACTCTGTCTGGCACTGTTCTTTGAGTAATATCATACACTCCAGCACTTCTAAAAACATTGCTGGGACCTATAAATAATTTGTATATATCTGTAGACAATAGTATGTGACCTAGGCAGGTGGACATGTTTACCTGTCAGTGTGTAAATGTGTGTTTGTAACTGATTACTCTTTCCATACCAAATATTGTGCAAGAACAACAATTAGCTATGAAATCACAAGATCCACTGTAAATTATAATTCTCAGAACATAAAAACTACGTAAATTAAAAAAAAAAAAAAAAACTTTGTGGTGTTATATCTCAGTAAGTACTGATCCTAAGAAAAATTTTTTTTTTCTTATTTTATTAAACACATAAAACTAACCTTTTTTGTTTTTACAGATTTATTTTTTCCAAAATATTCAGAGCGCTAGTGGAGATGCATTGATCAATGGCCTGATAGTTAAAGGGTTAAATAACAATGTACTGAATACCAATACAATTGCAAACAATTTAGTTCTTATATGAGCAGTATTCACACACTAATTGATGTTATTAAATTTGTAAAAAACATAATAGCTTCCAGTATCAATCTCATAAAAAACAAAAGTAATTAATGCTTTTCCTTGCTAATATTTTTATATGAAAAATTTGATAATTCTTTAACAATATGAATTATCTTACTACTTATAAAATATTCAAATCTGCAAAACTTACCCACACTCATGTTTCATCCATAAGTCTTTACAAGTGAATGGTGCCAGGCAGGTAACATTGACACACTGGTTTTGGGAGATACAGTTCTTGACCAAGTTCCGGAACATTGTAGCTTGCCCCCACTGGGTGCCATTTAGACCAGGTGGAAGTGGCAAGTGTTTTCCTTCAAGACGAATGTCATCCAAACAGCCTAAAAGCAAAATTTACATTTGATAAGAATTATGGTAAAAAGTAATGCAAATTTACACTTATACAATCTATGATATTACTGCTTTATGAAATTACAAAACAGTAGCGTATTATCATCATATTGATTACCTTTATCTTAATCCCCCAAAAGAAAAGCTTAAAAAAACTAAATACACTAAAATTCTTTAAAAATCTATTACTATACAGTATTTATCCCATAAATTCAGTTATTAATTTTCATTTTTAGTTAGTATTTTCATGTACACCTACCATGCGACTTACGACCGAGTTCGGTTCCGAGAAACCGGTCGTAAGTCGAAATGGTCGTAAGTCGAACTTTACTACTGAATATCAACAAAACATTTTTGTAATAACTTTATTTTATTGTTTTATTTTGGTATTTCATGTTTTACTTTACTTTTTATGCTGTTAGTACTGTATTTTATACTGTAAGACTCACGAAATCGTAATGACACGATTGCAAACAAACCATACCCCGGCCGGGATTGAACCCGCGGTCAGAGAGTCTCAAAACTCCAGCCCGTCGCGTTAGCCACTAGACCAGCTAGCCACAATAAGATTCGTCCAACTAGGTATATTTCTACACCATAGGAAGGTTAGCACAGGCACCACTGTGACCACAAATGCAAGTTTTTACAGACGAATCTCCAGCTAGCGTGGCCGTGACGAACTCTAGCTCAAGTCCCTTCACTGCCGTCAACATGACTCACGAAATCGTAATGACACGATTGCAAACAAACCATACCCCGGCCGGGATTGAACCCGCGGTCAGAGAGTCTCAAAACTCCAGCCCGTCGCATTAGCCACTAGACCAGCTAGCCACATAAGATTCGTCCAACTAGGTATATTTCTACGGTGCCATCATGTTGACAGCAGTGAAGGGACTTGAGCTAGAGTTCGTCACGGCCACGCTAGCTGGAGATTCGTCTGTAAAAACTTGCATTTGTGGTCACAGTGGTGCCTGTGCTAACCTTCCTATGGTGTAGAAATATACCTAGCTGGACGAATCTTATGTGGCTAGCTGGTCTAGTGGCTAACGCAACAAGCTGGAGTTTTGAGACTCTCTGACTGCGGGTTCAATCCCGGCCGGGGTATGGTTTGTTTGCAATCGTGTCATTATGATTTCGTGAGTCATGTTGACGGCAGTGAAGGGACTTGAGCTAGAGTTCGTCACGGCCACGCTAGCTGGAGATTCGTCTGTAAAAACTTGCATTTGTGGTCACAGTGGTGCCTGTGCTAACCTTCCTATGGTGTAGAAATATACCTAGTTGGACGAATCTTATGTGGCTAGCTGGTCTAGTGGCTAACGCGACGGGCTGGAATTTTGAGACTCTCTGACCGTGGGTTCAATCCCGGCCGGGGTATGGTTTATACTGTAAGGTTTAGGATAAACACTGTGTACACTACAAACACTTGTTTATTTCCCAGAAATTTGGCATAAAAAACATGGTCGTAAGTCGAGTGGTCATAAGTCGAGCAGGTCGTAAGTCGGATGGTAGGTGTATTTTATATTATTATTATTATTATAATCAAGGGGGAAGCGCTAAACCCGGAGAATTATACAGTGCCTGGGGGGAGGGGATGTGGAAGGCATTCAGGCTTAATTCGGGGAACTGGAGCACAGATCCAATGCCCTAAATCAAGAGCCCCTCACCAACATCAAGGAACCTTCCTTGAGAGGACATGTATTTTATAATCCCTGCACTGAATGAAAAAGAAAAGAAAAATGATCAACTTACCAAGTTTGTAATCATTGTAAACTTCAAATGTCCTTATTCCAGTGTATTCTGCCTTGCCACCAGCATATACACCCTCTTGTTTGTCAACATCCATCAACATATGCCCAGAGAAAGCCATAGTTTCATTATAGCGTCGACCCTCACCACCATCCAACATTAGAGTTGATGTTGATCCATGACGCTCCACCATAACTGAATGCCAGATGCCATCATTAACAGCCACAGCTGACAGCCAAAGATCATGCTCTTCAGTTCGAAGACTATTCAGATTATAACGAAAACGTAATCTGCCATCTTTTATCTCTAAAATTCCATATTCTCGATTGTGTTGATCCGAGATTCTGAATAATTCACCATACTCTTGCCATGTACGGAATCTGAGCTGAATTTCTGTACTGAAAGCATTGGGTTTAAAAGACAAGGCATATTTAACATAAGATTGTGTCTCAAAGTATGCCGAATTGGTTGGTTCGTCACAAGTTGGACCTGTCCACCCAGGCTTACACTTGCACACAGGGTGTGAGAGTGAGCCTGAACAGATGCCATTTGGTCCACAAGTAGGAACTATGGAACTGCTTCTGCATGCTTCTTCTAGCTGTGGGCAACCCATCTGAGTATTGCGGTACTGGCCAGGACGTGCTAGATCATACAGTTCACTATTGACCATAAGATTCCTTATACAGCCACTAAAATATCGACCATGGGGAACATGCAGCCATTTGTACAAACTAGGATCAGGCTGTTCATGAGCAAGGCCTCCAACCTGTAGAGGTGCATTTACATTTAAGTATTCATTGAAAGGAGGTATAGTGCCTTTAGCCTGGCATCCTGAAGAGTCAAAAATGGGGTCACTGCCATCTTCTGGTTCTTGAACTTCTGCAGCAACACAATGGTCTACATCTATTCTAACATTCTGAAAAATAGAATAATCTGTTATATATTTATTAAAAAATATTATATACTGTACAATGGTCCCTAGAGTTACAAGTCTTGAGTTATGATAATTTTGAGTTATGAGGGTCTTCAGTTAAGTTAATTGATTTACCTTCATAAAGGAATTTAGTTTATAGCTGCAATGAAAAATTTGAGATGCAATACAAATACCCAGCACCACTCGTCAATTTCAGCATATGGACCAGCAAATGACTGTGCATTTCAAGACTATTTACACCAAAAAGATATCTGCCAAGTACTTTGCCGAAACTTCAGGAGATGAAGCCATCAGCATCAAGGAATTCTGGAAGACTAAGTTTAACATCTTAGAATGTGTATATTCCTGGAATGAAATTTCTCCTTGGCACCTCACTGCAGGTTGGAAGAATGTGTGGCCTTTGATCACCTATGACTCTGAAGGATTTGAGGCTGAGAAGGGTGTAATCCAGGAGACTGTTGCTCTTAGTGAGGCAATTGGCTGGAGGTTGATGAAGAGGATGTGGAGTAGTTAAAGTAGAACTACAGACAGGGGTTGACAACAGAGGAGCTCGAGGAATCAGGAAAGATGGATAAGGATAGTGAGGAGGAAGAAGTGGACTAGCTGTGGACATTCAAGAGCTAACACACTGGAAAGGTGTGAAAGGAAACAAGAAAGCACCCAGACATTGAAAAATCTAAACTTGCTGCCTGTGTTTCTGATGATAATGTTTTCCAATCTTATTTTAAGAGACTCAGAAAAATCTGATAAAAACAAACAACTCTGGACAGTTTCTTCAAGAGGCAGCAGTTGGAAAGAACTTCTCCTTGCAACAAGTAACCTTTTCTCCCACACCACAAACTCTTTAAGCCCAAGGTACAATATAAGCTGCACTTTCAGGGTCTTGGAACAAATTATGATAAAACCATGTATTTTGGGGTTTGAATTATGACATTTTGAGACACAATATGTTTTCTGGAATAGTTTAATGCTGTAACTCAAGGGACCATATATATATATATATATATTTTTTTTTTTTTTCAACAAGTCGGCCGTCTCCCACCGAGGCAGGGTGACCCAAAAAAGAAAGAAAATCCCCAAAAAGAAAATACTTTCATCATTCAACACTTTCACCACACTCGCACATTATCACTGTTTTTGCAGAGGTGCTCAGAATACAACAGTCTAGAAGCATACACATATAAAGATACACAACATATCCCTCCAAACTGCCAATATCCCAAACCCCTCCTTTAAAGTGCAGGCATTGTACTTCCCATTTCCAGGACTCAAGTCCGACTATATGAAAATAACCGGTTTCCCTGAATCCCTTCACTAAATATTACCCTGCTCACACTCCAACAGATCGTCAGGTCCCAAGTACCATTCGTCTCCATTCACTCCTATCTAACACGCTCACGCACGCTTGCTGGAAGTCCAAGCCCCTTGCCACAAAACCTCCTTTACCCCCTCTCTCCAACCCTTTCGAGGACGACCCCTACCCCGCCTTCCTTCCCCTATAGATTTATATGCTTTCCATGTCATTCTACTTTGATCCATTCTCTCTAAATGACCAAACCACCTCAACAACCCCTCTTCTGCCCTCTGACTAATACTTTTATTAACTCCACACCTGCTCCTAATTTCCACACTCCGAATTTTCTGCATAATATTTACACCACACATTGCCCTTAAACAGGACATCTCCACTGCCTCCAACCGTCTCCTCGCTGCTGCATTTACCACCCAAGCTTCACACCCATATAAGAGTGTTGGTACTACTATACTTTCATACATTCCCTTCTTTGCCTCCATAGATAACGTTTTTTGACTCCACATATACCTCAACGCACCACTCATATATATATATATATATATATATATATATATTAATATAATATATATAATGTTAGTTTAAAAACTGTATGTAAAGCACCCTTCTGAAGACAGTGATGGAGTGAATGATGTAAAGTTTTTCTTTTTCGGCACACCTGCCTTGTGGATACCGGGCGGTGTATATAAAAAAAATATATATATTTAAAAAAAAAAAAAAAATAAATATTATTAATTATTTTGTATTATAGTATATTTATTTATATATAATATAATAACTTTCTTCTTCTTTAACACACGCCGATCACCGAGCGGGGTATTCCACTTTTATCCACATTCCATTCAGTTTGGTAGGAGATTGCGGCAAATTTTGGTGTTTACTCTTAACTGTAGAGTCCCAGATCCAAAATCTATTAGAAGTCTTGGTCGTCCATTTTCTAGTTCTAGTGATATGAAGTCTGAGACTATTAACTCATCTGTTTCAGGAGGGGTAATGGGACCATTGTAGAAGAGGAGCCCATCGGGACGTCTTGTCAAAAATTCCAAGCTTATATGTGAATTGTCGCACATTGCTAAAGGAGGGAACCAAGCAAATCCATTTCCTCTGAAAGTTCTTGTTACCATTTGACATCTTGGTCCATCATATCCTTCTGGACACCTACAGTGTATTCCTGATTTTCCTTCTATACATCGGCCACCATTGTAACAAGGGTTTGGACGGCATGATTCCTCGACGGAAAAATTTCTAGCTCCACACGTACACTCTGGTACCACTTCTGTCGTACACCTACTAAGGAAGTTTTATTTGCATTTACCATATAAGGCAAATTGGAAATAACTAAATGGTTAGTACATGACCCTTCACAAGCTACATTTTCATAAAGGCATTCATCAATACCTACCATGGTAATGTTGATACCTATTTCTGCCTCAATTTCTGCCCGGTGTTGTAAAACAAGACCATCTAGTTTAATAGGATGGTAGTATGGAGAACCATGAGCAGAAAAGCGAATGTCTGTAATAGGTGGTCTCTCCTGTCTTATTTGTATACTGAATACATCAACATTTTCAACACTTGTTCCCACTAATCTCGCTATCTTTTCCCTGAACATATCAGATTTACTGCGTACCACTCGCTGAGTTCTATAATCCCAAATTCGAATAAAGTCCTCATCTGTCATATTTGCTATGCGAATGGATCCAGAGTTTATGACAGCAATCTCAGGAATTTCTTTCACTGTGACAGTAACATTGGCTTCTACATCTGTCTGGGTGTGCTTTCGATCATAAACATGAAACTGTAGAAAGTAAGTACCTTCTCCAGTACCATGTTTCATGGTGATCATACCATCATCTTCATTTAATTTGAAGTTAACATGTGCATCAGCTGCCCAGTTAAACTTCTTATCAGGTAAATCCCAGTCATCAAGATCGTAAACATATACACGACCAATCTGGGTTTCTGGGGCCTGTCCTTTGTAGTTGTAAACAAAGATATCCTTTGAGCCAGGCTGCATCTTATTATCATTTTCATCTCCAATAATAATAGTTAATGTAGAAGTGCCAGTCATCTGAGGTGTGCCAGCATCTTTTATCACAATGGGTACATGATACTCCTTTTGTACTTCACGATCAAATGTTCTTAGGGAAGAGATGACAGCCATCCCATCACCATTGGCTCCTTTAGGAATGTGCTCTACTTTAAAGGATGCACGGATTTCATCAGATGCAGTAGAATCCATTCGGAAGTGGAAAGGTGGTCCATTACCCTTTGATCGGTCATCATCATCAGTTGCTAATACCTCTACTATCTTTCTGGGAGATTGGTTCTCTGGCAAAACTGGGCGATAATCTTTCAAGAATCTTGGAGAATTGTCATTAATATCTTGGACAATCACAGTAAGAGTAGCAGTAGCAGTTTTTGCTGGTGTACCATCATCAATAGCTAGAATCTTTACTGAATGACGTGGATTTTCTTCTCTGTCTAAACTTCTCTGAATCTTAACAGTACCAGTGTTATCAATGGCAAATTGTCTCCTTCTATCCGAGGTTCTGTCTATAGCATATAAAACTTTACTGTGTCCACCCTGGTCAGGATCTGATGCTTTAAAAGTCTCTAAACTTTTACCAATTTCTGCATTTTCAAATACAGGCACTTCAATATTAGGCTTAACAAATTGTGGCTTGTTATCATTAATGTCTCTCAATTCAACTTTAACCCAAGAATAAGCAACATGATACTTCTCGGCATCATTGTCTTCACCTTTGTCATTTACTTGTATTTTAAACCTAAACCCACTACGCTGCATTGCATCTTCAAAATCCAGTGGCTGTACAATCTTCAGTGACCCAGTACCATCATTGTTTCTCACCATTGTAAATTTATCTGCACCAAATCCAGAAGATTCAATTACTTTATAATGAAACTTATTCGTCTCATCCTCGTCATGAACTGTGACTGTCAGAATGGCTTGATCAGGAAGAATGGCCCCCTCTGTTTCGTCAACTTCTGTCTGCCATTCTTCTTTTGTAAATCTTGGTGGCATATCATTGATGTCTCTTACACGTATGCTTGCTGTTCCAGTCCCTAAATAAAGAAAACACAGCATATATAAATAAGATGCACATTAATGTGAAAATATGTTAGACGAACATAATGCTTTTAAATTTTTATCCTGCAAATTCCCTTATCATCAAACCTATAATAAAAATAGGGTGATCACAAAAAATCTAAATATCAGCAAAGATATTATTATTATTGTTATTATGGGAAGAATCATTCTACAGAAGGCAGGATGTGCCTGCCTATAACCTTGATGAGATCGCATTACATGTATATTCCTGGATGAATGGAAGACTGCTGGTGTGGGGCTATACTTGTGCATCTTCCCAACACCTACATCCTTTATAGTGCTAATCAACAAAGTGGTTCTGATGATCATAGGGAAGTTCACAAACTCATCAAGTACAGGGATTTGGTCCATCAGTACCACTTTGTAACCAAAGGATCAGAAACCCCTGGTTCCTGGAAAAACATGACACAAGTTTCCTCAAGGAGCTAGGCTCATTAAGAGACCTAAAGACTGCCACTTCTCTCTCTTCCAGTGCCTCAGTGTAATGATCCAGAGGGAATACCTGCTGCATCTTAGGTCCCCACTAGGAGTGCAAGGAGCTCCACAACTTCAATTTGTGTTTCTCCACACATTTTGCAATTCTACATGTATGTAAATTCCTGTACTCATGAACATGTAAACATATGCTACATGTATTATTTAGAGATTTCAAAAATCAAAAAAATATAAATACTGTATGTACAGGGGACAGTAGAGAAAGAAAATAAACAGCTCTGAGGAGAAATATCTGAATTTTTCCCAGAATGAAACTTATTCTCTCTTCTCTGAGGATGAGGGGTCCCCAATTAGCCCCACAGGTGTTACTTACATACATGCATACATATATACATATACACATTTATGTATTTAGGTTTGAGGGAATATCTTAGGTTATTTAAACAATGTAATATCTGTGCCCTTAACACCTGTGTGCCTTCCAGACCACTTTAAAACATACATTTGCAAAGAAATCTTATATTACAATTGTTCATGGCATAATACTTGTGGAAACATGGAAATATAGTAAACCCTCAAAATAACAGACTTTTAAAATTTCTTTGCTATTCTGAACATTCTGATTTAAGAGACACTTGGACAATCCTCTCTATTACGTCAAGGAATTATGGCAAGTCATTTTGTTTGATTATATTCAGTTATCCTAGGTTAAATATATGTGTGCTTTTTGGCTGAATTCCAGTTACTATCACGAAATTGTAAGGAATTTGGAATACTGCATCTTCCTGGCAGTTGCATACCCTACTTGCTGGTAGGGAAGCTGGTGGTGGAACAACAGTCTTGGTTTCATTGCTTACTTATGCTAATGAGAGTATACTACTCCATGATGCTCAACATGGACCTGCATGGTCTTAGATTTTCTTCAAAGGCATGAGGCTGTAGGATACCCAAACAATTGGGCTAAGGTCAAAAATATTGGCAGGTGGTGTATTTGAAGGCACAAAAAACTGTGAATACTAGTATGATGGACACAGTCATCACCTGTGTACCAGTTCATCGGACAGTCATCACCTGTGTACTAGTTCATTGGACAGTCATCACCTGTGTACTAGTTCATCGGGCAGTCATCACCTGTGAACTAGTTCATTGGACACAGTCATCACCTGTGTACTAGTTCATCAGACACAGTCATCACATGTGTACTGATAGGTCCACACTGATAGGGTCAACAGGAAGGGTGGTGGAGTGGCGATGTGTGTCAGAGAAAATTTAAATTGCTGTCTTAGACATGATATAAGATTAGAAACATCGAACACAGAATCTGTTTGGCTACAGTTTCTCGAAGGACGTGACAAATTAATTTTGGGTGTGATTTATAGGCCCCCAAACCTTGATAGGGAGTGCAGTAAGCTGTTATGGGATGAAATTCATAAGGCATCTAGATATGAAAATGTTGTGATAATGGGAGATTTTAACTTTAGACAAATTGATTGGAACAATATGACAGGAAATCTTGAGTCTAGTGACTTTCTTGATACGGTTCAGGATTGCTTTTTAGAGCACGTTGTGACAGAACCAACTAGAGGAAACAATCTGCTTGATTTGGTCCTTGCCAACAAAGATTCACTAATTAATAATCTTGAGGTTAATGATGAGCTTGGGAAAAGTGATCACAAATCACTTAGTTTCAATATACAGGTCCGCCATCACAAATCCGGCAATCAATTATTCGGTTCCTTCAGTTATTCGGCACTAATTTTGGCTAGCATAATTTCAAATTTCCAGGGTCGCCACACCAACTGTTTGGTGGTGCTACTTGCTGCACAAGTCATTCCAATTTCTTTTTCTCCATTTATTGTTTTAACCTGCTTACTTTTAGCCCTAGCCATGGTTCCAATGAATAAAAGAAATGCTTCTCATTATGTAAAGCACCTACACAGTACATTAAAGATAAGGTGGCTTTGAAGCCACTGTCGGTTGCCATGAGCTCAGTCTCATGAAGCAGGAGAATATGCTTTATTATTATGCTAATATCAACACTACAGCTAATTTGCCTATCACAATTGATCTGACATAAGAAACAATATAAATAACATAAAACATGTTAAATACTCCAGAATGAATAATATTTGGCATAACACCAAGCAGTTCGATGGAGGTATGAAGAGGATATGGTATACAAATACCATTCTCCTATCCCTGTCTAGGGGGCTTATATTAAAGAAAACGGAGTAGAGCACAGGGCAAACTGCAATATACACTCGTACTGCACCATAAACCTGAAACAAAAAAGTTATTTTCTCTATATAGATTATCACACATAGCAGCATATGTGTAGAGAACCTAGGATAACCCAAAAAAGTCAACGTGGCTTATTTTTAGTACCTGGCTTGGATTTTTGGTAAATACAGTGGACCCCCGGTTAACGATATTTTTTCACTCCAGAAGTATGTTCAGGTGCCAGTACTGACCAAATGTGTTCCCATAAGAAATATTGTGAAGTAGATTAGTCCATTTCAGACCCCCAAACATACACGTACAAACGCACTTACATAAATACACTTACATAATTGGTCACATTCGGAGGTAATCGTTATGCGGGGGTCCACTGTACTCGATTCTCAGCCAGGGTAGAAACATTAGGCGTGTTTCTTTACACCTGTTGTCTATGTTTACCCATCAGTAAATGGGTACCTGGGTGTTAGCCGACTAGTGTGGGTGTTATCCTGGGACACTGACCTAATTTTCTTGAAATACTTTGCATAACAAGTGGCTTTCTATATAGTAGTATGTCACTGATGTCAGCTAGGCCTGTATACCTTGTACATGTACGTGTAGTAAATAAAGATATTATTACTATTATTATTATTATATTATTATATTATTTTCTCGAAGAGGTATGGGGTCGAAGAGGTATGGGGTCGAAGAGGTATGGGGTAGGTTTAAAAATGTAGTGTTAGAGTGTTCAGCAGAAGTTTGTGGTTACAGGAAAGTGGGTGCGGGAGGGAAGAGGAGCGATTGGTGGAATGATGATGTAAAGAGAGTAGTAAGGGAGAAAAAGTTAGCATATGAGAAGTTTTTACAAAGTAGAAGTGATGCAAGGAGGGAAGAGTATATGGAGAAAAAGAGAGAGGTTAAGAGAGTGGTGAAGCAATGTAAAAAGAGAGCAAATGAGAGAGTGGGTGAGATGTTATCAACAAATTTTGTTGAAAATAAGAAAAAGTTTTGGAGTGAGATTAACAAGTTAAGGAAGCCTAGAGAACAAATGGATTTGTCAGTTAAAAATAGGAGAGGAGAGTTATTAAATGGAGAGTTAGAGGTATTGGGAAGATGGAGGGAATATTTTGAGGAATTGTTAAATGTTGATGAAGATAGGGAAGCTGTGATTTCGTGTAAAGGGCAAGGAGGAATAACATCTTGTAGGAGTGAGGAAGAGCCAGTTGTGAGTGTGGGGGAAGTTCGTGAGGCAGTAGGTAAAATGAAAGGGGGTAAGGCAGCCGGGATTGATGGGATAAAGATAGAAATGTTAAAAGCAGGTGGGGATAGTGTTTTGGAGTGGTTGGTGCAATTATTTAATAAATGTATGGAAGAGGGTAAGGTACCTAGGGATTGGCAGAGAGCATGCATAGTTCCTTTGTATAAAGGCAAAGGGGACAAAAGAGAGTGCAAAAATTATAGGGGGATAAGTCTGTTGAGTATACCTGGTAAAGTGTATGGTAGTTATTATTGAAAGAATTAAAAGTAAGACTGAGAATAGGATAGCAGATGAACAAGGAGGCTTTAGGAAAGGTAGGGGGTGTGTGGACCAGGTGTTTACAGTGAAACATATAAGTGAACAGTATTTGGAAAAGGCGTATGACAGGGTGGATAGGGGGGCAATGTGGCAGATGTTGCAGGTGTATGGTGTACGAGGTAGGTTACTGAAAGCAGTGAAGAGTTTTTACGAGGATAGTGAGGCTCAAGTTAGAGTACATAGGAAAGAGGGAAATTATTTCCCAGTAAAAGTAGGCCTTAGACAAGGATGTGTGATGTCACCATGGTTGTTTAATATATTTATAGATGGGGTTGTAAGAGAAATAAATGCGAGGGTCTTGACAAGAGGCGTGGAGTTAAAAGATAAAGAATCACACAAAGTGGGAGTTGTCACAGTTGCTCTTTGCTGATGACACTGTGCTCTTGGGAGATTCTGAAGAGAAGTTGCAGAGATTGGTGGATGAATTTGGTAGGGTGTGCAAAAGAAGAAAATTAAAAGTGAATACAGGAAAGAGTAAGGTTATGAGGATAACAAAAATATTAGGTGATGAAAGATTGGATATCAGATTGGAGGGAGAGAGTATGGAGGAGGTGAATGTATTCAGATATTTGGGAGTGAACATGTCAGCGGATGGGTCTATGAAAGATGAGGTGAATCATAGAATTGATGAGGGGAAAAGGGTGAGTGGTGCACTTAGGAGTCTGTGGAGACAAAGAACTTTGTATGAGAGTATAGTTTTATCAACACTCTTATATGGGTGTGAAG